GCAATGCACCTAATGCCAATAGTAGAAGTTCAGTCTAACAAACAGCAGCAAATTAACCCTCCAGCTTGTTGTGTTCAGTAGTAAATATCATTCTGGCTTCAGTGGTAATATCCCAAGTCTTTAAATCATGTTTGACTCTGTGACAATTAGTTGGCAGAACAGAAAGTGCACTTGTCCCATGTATTGAGAAGAAATACAGTTAATGCATTTTTGAGCCAATGGAGTCATCAGTTTAAGGTGCTATTAATGTGTCTAATCTATGCATTCCTTCTTTTGGTGTTTAATGAGAGCTGCTGAAAGATTTTATTGATGTTAGCTGCTTTTCAGTTTTACTTTGAACTGAAGAGCAGCTGCTCATAAAATTATAGTTTGTGAAATATATCTCCACTTTTTCTCTCTTTTTCCTCCCTTCTCTCTTTTTTTTTTTTCCTCCTCTTTCCTCTTTTTGTCTGCTGGTTTGTTTTTCATTTCCTGTTAGTATTTGAATAATATATATTTTTAGTTTATATTTGGTTAGAATCAAAAACCAATTCTAAAGAAAATGCAAAATTTTAGACAATGTATTTTTTAACAGAAATCATGTATAATCAGAAAGTTTTTCTGCTCAATTTATTGCTCCAAGGTACAAAGGGTAGTTTAAAGAAAGAAATAATGTGTTTAGATTGTGCATTATACTTGTCCTGCGACAAATTCCAGTAAAATTAAAGAGCAAAGCACTTATGTGTGAATAAAATTAAAGATACATTAAAATGTATTCATGATTTTTCTTTCTGAAGTTAATAACAAAATTCAGTCTTGTGAGAGAAGAGTGGGACTTGGTCCCACAACATACACGATGAGGAAAATATCTTTTATTTTTTTCCTTCTTCTTTTCACTGGGAACAAAAGCACTCTAACATAATGTATATTTAATAAATTTGTATTTTACCAATCAGATTGAGGCTGATAATTAATTTGAGTACAGACTTCAGCGGTGAAGTAGTAGAGGTTGATAATTAGGTTGGCGCCTCCTGAGGAGCCTTGTTCACCTCAGTTGGGAATGAGCTGGTAGATGTTGAAGATGCTAAAATTCCTCATGGCAAGTATGGGGTTTGTGGATGCACAGGGCCTTGTTCCTTATGACCTTGGAGAAGATAGGCTGCTCTTTAACTCTCTGGAGCAGTCAGTTTCTGGGAAATTCCTTTTTAATTTCTGGGAGATTTCTTTTTAGTCTTGTTAACAGAGTTCATATAATGAAAATGAATGAAATGCTTCAATTAGCAGTGAAAATAGAATACACCTAGGCCTGCCGCTTTCCTGAGCACACCTGGATTGTAAAACTCAACCTTTGAGAAGATACGGATGCTCTGATTTTTTTTATTTTAATTTCAGTCTCTAAAGAACAAATTTTCTGAGGTATCTTCCTTCTTAGAAAATGTCTTTCTATTGTAGTTTTAAAACTTGCTGGCATACAGGAGAATTCTCTATGCATTGGGTTGTTGCATATGTTATGTAGGCATGTGAGAGGTAGAAGTGAAATATTCTGTACTGGTAGAGAGATTCGAAGTAACTAAACATTTTTAGAGTATTTGGAAAGCATGGTAGTTGTCAGATGCACAGTTTACTAGATGCAGCTTCCATGGCAAGTAATACTTTTAAGCAGAAGAAATGAAATCTATAATGAACAGTTGAGGAGAAAAGTAAAAAGAGGAATGATAGCAAGTGAGTTTTGTCACTCACAGGAGGACAGGTACAAAATACTAAAAGGAAAACTTAAGACAAATGTTTTCCTATATACTATATAAAGAACTACACTTTTATGGGTCCCTTAGAGATACAAGTATTATAGTAGGTTAGGAATTTACAGCCAAGATTTTTTAGGAAAGAAGATGCATGGATATGTTTATTTTAATTTCTCAATATTGTCACTGGGGAAAAGAAGAATTTTGCTTGAGGTTGAAGCAAATTATGTATTTCAGTATATTAAAATGAACTGAAACATTTTATCTAAAGTTTGCTAAATGCTAGTTAAAATCAGTTTCTAACACTGCAGCAGTAAATCATGGTAGATTTGGGATGAATGTTTCGTTCTCCCATTGTTTATGCCTAAGCTTCCTAGGTGAATTACTTGTCTCATGCAAAACTGTGGGTTTCCCCTGTAATTAAGCCTTTTTCTCGAATTGTGTGTGCTATTGTAACAGTTTATTACAAGGGAAATAATGCAGCCAAAAAAAATAGTAAGGTGAGACACTAGCCGGCCAGGTATTGGGAAGAACCGTAGTTAGGAAATGACAAATAACACCTCAAAGTGATTACATAAAACATGTATTTTGTCAAATTGAGTTGATGGATTTTTGTTCAGTGGTGATAGGCACAAAACATAATATGTATCAGATGTTTAGATCCAACTTTATTTATTTGCTTAAACTGATACCCCAAAACAATTATGTCCAAACTTCTGACAATAAAAATGACAATAAATTATATCAACATGTTATGTAGGAATAAGATGATACAAATATTACTTGGAAAAGAAATTTCAGATTTAAAAAATCTAGATAATATTAGAACAGTGACAGAATGTACAACATAATGTCTATATTGTGGTTAAGTGATAAAGCACTTTTATTTTTATCTTTGTATTGTAAGTTGCTTCATACTTGTACATGATGCTTTTAATTTTTACCCTTTCATTTATATTTTGAGAAAAGATCAAGTGATACACAAACTTCTTTGTTAAATGATGTCCTCTCATGAAAATAGAGAACCACTGAAAATACAGTAGTATCTGTTCTGGTGTTATAATAACAGGTCATTGGATGTCCACAGGAGTAACTGTTAAGTCAGTGATGTGCAGCAATGTTATTGGAAGACCAAATCCTCAAGTCCTGAGGCAGTTTGCTCACAAACTGCTTGAATGGCATTACTTTGGTGATTAGGAATTAAATTCTTAATTTTGCAATGATCATCTCTAAGAACAAAACTAAGAAAAAGCAAACAAAAAGAAGGAAACACAAAACCAAAAACTGGTTTGCTATGTGCAAGTTTGTAGAGCATACTATAGCAATGAGCTGATGAATGAAGAACATAAATAATCACTTTAGTTAGGAGTTAAGCTGGAGATATTTTTGAAAAATAGAGTAATACGGTATTTAGATTTCTTCTGGTGAAAATGTTTAAACCAAAGAACTGTATGTTGGGATGTAATTATATTGCTGCAGCGAAGATGCACATTGATTACTGCATTTCATACAGACTTACTTAGAAAGGCTATTATAATTTTGAACTGTGATCAAAGATGTATTTTAATGAAAATACTCTAAAGGTTTGTTGGGGGAGTACTGAAAAAAAATAGAAGCATCCTGCTTGTAGAGGAGGAGATGCTGAACTGCTTGCTTAACCACAGTCTTTCAGAGCAGAGATGACACACACAACTGCCCCCCAGAATCCTCTAAGGACTGTACTGACTATTACCAATGTGTTTCCAGCAATCTAGCAGCAAGATCTGAGAAAGCGCCCAATTCTCCACTCAGAAAGGCACAGAGTGCCAAATAAACACTTATGTAATGGTTAAAGACAGAAATATAACTAACACAATAGCAACAAGCACAGCAATTTCCTGGTGGGCTTGAAGTCCCTGTTGTGCAGAGCCCCACTTTTCCAAGTGGTTCATGACCTACAGCTGCAGCCTGCCTTCTTGCATTGCAGCAGTAGCTGCTCCACACAAACACTTCTCATCTTCTGTTTGTGGCCTTAGAGATGTGTCTGGGATGGAAGACATCCATGGTGTCTTTCTTTTAGAATGTGACAGTGCTAATTCAAATACAATAAATCCCATAAAGGTCTTTTTTCACAAAAAATGATGTCCTCCACCATAAATCCTCAACTGTCATCATTGATATCTATGGAATTTTCCCTTAAGTGCATGATACTTAGGTTGTGCTTTATATAGTTATTTATTCACAGTGAAAATCTTAGGTATGTGAACTAGGTATAGCTAGGTACGTGACTTTACAACAGCAGTGAGCATCTTTATTTCACTTGCTGATTTTCACACTAGATAGCAAGAAACAGTATCACTTAATCAGTGTGAGTGTTTGACACTCAGAAGCTCCTTAGGTGCTGTGTTCTCAACTTTGCATTCATTGAGCAACCAAAACCCATAGCCACACATGGACAAAAGTTGGGTGGGCCATGTGGGCAGCAGCTGGCAGCCGAGCAAGGTAAGTTTATGTTTGCACAGCACTTTGCATGCAAACTACAACTCTTTCAGCCTAACTGTACAGCACCTTGAGCTCTGTCTCGCTCACAGCACACACACAGCTGTGGCCCAGCTTCTTGGGAATAGAGCTATCCCTAGGCAGTGCTACCTCATATCTTCCTGCAAAACAGTATGGACCAACTTAAGCTGTTTTGTATTGGGAATCTCAGTAAGGAATAAGGCTCCGCTGTAAAAGACACAGCATGTGGATTTCCAGTGTAAAGAGTAAATAAACCGAAATCTAGATGTAAGACAGCTGGCAAGAAGTAGCTTTAATAAAATGACGAGACAGCAGAGTGGATCTCTGGTTATTACAGCTTATTATTATTATTACAGCCTGCTTTTCCATCACCTCTTTTTCAAAAGCAGGAGAGTTCATTATAATGCAGGAATGATGTCACAGCCATATGTAAAACCAGTAGCAATAAGAATTCAGTCTGACTTCTGAGTTTCTAAGATGAAGATATAGACTATCTATATTAAAATCTAATCTGCCTCACGACCTAGACACTAAAGCTCTGGCAGCCTGATTTACTTCTATACCAGATAACCAGATATTTCTATATCCAGATAACACAGGAGTGAGCAGCATGCAACATTGTCCAGGCTTTGGCCTCATATGCAAAAATAAAAGAACACACAGTCTATTTTTTTTTGCAAAAAGGGTATAAGTCATCCTATAAACCACCTAAATAATAGGTCAGTTTTTTGAAACTAGTGATATTTTATTTCAAAAGTCACTTTTCTTTCTTCTAGGCCTTTTCTGATACTAACTCCTACCTCCCAGACCCATGGATGCTGCAGAGTTTCGCAAGAGAGGGAAGGAGATGGTGGACTATATTGCAGATTACCTGGAAAAGATAGATAAACGACAGGTCTTCCCAGATGTGGAACCAGGATATCTGAGGCCGCTCATTCCAGACTGTGCACCCCAGGATCCTGAGAGCTTTGAGGATGTCTTTAAAGACATTGAGAAGATCATTATGCCAGGGGTAAGAAAAAATGGATCTGTAGTATAAAAAGTGTATTTTTACTCAATACTGTACTTAGATATTCAGAGGCTTTAAGGAAAGTGTGGGTGGAAGCTGTCCAGCTGAATCTTGCAAAAACAGTAGTGCTATTTGTAGTGCCAGTTAGCTTTTAGGTGCTACAAATAGGTTTTAGGAGGCACTACAATTAGCTTTTAGGAGGCACAAGTCTACTGCATATCCATATTTAAATAAGTTCCAGCACTTCACACCATTCATGTTTTCTGTTCTTGCTAAAAATAATCAAATCATTCTTATACCTTGCGAGGCTTGCTTTTGGAAATCTTCTTTCCCCTTTAAATTGACTATGGCAAAGCTTTCAGTTTCATGTGATACTTTTTGGTGCTTGCAAAGCACAGTAAATATTTTATAAAATGGGCTTTTTTACTAGTCTGCCTTATATAAAATGTCTCTTCAGGCTGTTCTTTAAATGTCAAGACTCTCTCCTGAGACATCTTTTTATTACAGAGCTGACCAGAAATTATTTTTCCCAATACTTGGTCTGTTGACTTACTTTCCTAAATATTGATTTCATCAAGTACTTTTTAAGGCAGACGGCTGTTACCTAAATATCCTTCAGACAGATCAGTACTGTGCAAAACAAAGCATTTGACATTGGTTCAATTCTGAATCTTTCTTGTTATTTTCCTGCTCATGGTTTACTTTTTAAAATTTGAATACGTGCTTATCTCTTAAGGTCTCTCTGCAGCTTGAAGAAAACCAGATGATTAGTAAATCTTAATGAGGAGTCGCTTTTGGATCTCAGCAATAATCAATCATCTGAGTTGCTTCTCTGGATATAAATAGGTGATATGATCACTATATGACAAGACATAGAACCACTGCTCTGCAAATGTGTGTAGTCAGTATAGAGCAATACCAGTTCCTTTTCACTGACCAGTGTAAATATTTGATATTTGATATGTTTTTATCTTGTTTGCCTTGGAGCCAACTGTGCTGTCCTTTCACAGGCAAATCTTTCACTGGAGTCAGTGGAAATCTGTCTATTCTAGTCAAAGATCTCTGAAGTTTTAATCGAACAGAATTAAATCAGTGCAGATTATGTGGCCAACACATGAAAATTCTTTCATTTCTGCTCCTAGATACAAAAGTTGTTTGCCTCTATATAATTGTGTGTGTTTAATATTGCATATGCTGTAGTTCATTTTAAAGACAGCTCATACCAAATACTCATACCTAACCGATCAGAATATGTTCCTGAAAAATAATTATGAAAACCTTTCTTTTTTGACTGGAGAAAAAAAATTTAAGCCATTTCGTTAGTGTCTGAGATAGATAGAACATAACATGAGCATTTTGCCTTGAGCCAGTCAGAATACTGTTTTGATAACATTCAATAAAATAATGCCAATTAAAAAAAAAACCAAGTTGCTTAAGAATTAGAAGTGAAACACTGCATTCCAATTATGTCATCAAAATGTCGTGTTTTCTCTTAGGTAAAATGATTTTTGTTGTTGTTTTTCATGTTTATATGACCTGCAAGTAAGTTGACTTTTGAAAAACAGTACATTCTGAAGAAAAATGCTCTATCTATCTAAACCTTTTTTATGATGTGAAATATTAGTGTTTTAAACACATAAAAAGAAGGCCTACATAAGTCCTTGTTCTTGTAGAAGCTTCTGATTATTCTTTATGCCTTGTTTATCCTAAGTACTGAAGTCTTGGGTGAACTCAGAATTGTAGAATGGTTGACCACTCTGGAAACTGGTCAAGTTCTACCTACCTACTCAGAGCAGGAGCAGTTGGAGAAGGTTGCTCAGGATGGAGGCAGTTGGGTGTTGAGCATCTGTAATGATGGAGACTCCATAACCCTTCTGGGCAACCTGTTTCAATGTTTGACCACCCTCAGAAAAAAAAAGAAAAACACACTTTTCCCATGTTTAAGTGGAATTCTGTGTATTTACCCTGCATCCCACTTATCTAGGCTGTGATTCAATGGTGTGCCAATGAGTATGTTATAGGAGACAGTGTCAAAAAGCCTTGTTGAACATCAGGGAGCCACGAGGCCTGTCAGGCTTGCAAGGGATGGTGAGCTGGGAGCAGAGGGCAGCAATAGGGCAGGCGTAAGCAGTGACCTAACCAACACAGAGCCAGGTTGCAGAGGGTCAAGTCTGCTGTGACAAGGCAGACCCAGGGCCAAGAAAGGGCCAGCTGGAAGCCAGAAAGCTGAGCTGGTGGGACCAGGTCAAGGTCAGACTCATGCCAGTAGGGGACTGCATACAGACCTAGCTCCTGCATAGCTGGGCTGTAGCATAGGCAGGGGCCAGTAGTAAAGCCTCAGCTTGAAATCTGTTCAAGGAGAAAGGTAGAGTGGGTCTTGACTTTAGCTTTCTTCACACCAGCTCTTCTCAGAAATAGAGCTGATCTTGGACTCAGCCAGCTAAAATCTTGAGCTTATCCAACTAAACTCCTGTAAGGCCCTACTAGTAAAAACAAAATAAACATTATTCAGTGCTCTCCCCTTCATAAATCCACACTGACTTCTCCCAGTCACTTTCTTGTCTTTAATGTTTAGAAATGGGTTTGAGGCACTATCATCTTTCCTGGGATCAAAGAGAGGCTGAACAGCTTGTAGTTCCCTGATCTTCCTTCTTGTCCTTGAAGACACAAGTGGCATTTGCTTTTTTCCAGTCCTTGAGAACCTGTCCTGATTGTCATGACCTTCCAAAGATGCTTGAAGGTGGCCTCACAGTGACATCAGCCAACTCCTGCAGTGCTTTGGGGTACATCCCAGGGGGACTTATGTGTGTCCGGTTTCTTTAAATGTTCCTTAACCTGATCCTCCTCGAGAGTAAGTCTTAATTGCTCCACACTTCCCCGCAAGTCTCATGAGTCTAGGCCTCCTGAAGGCAAATCTTACCTAGGTAAAAATTACATTGGGCACCTTGGCCTTTTCCATGTCCTTTGTCACCAAGTCTGTGACCACAATCATAATTAAGCTCACATTTTCCCTAGTTTCTTCTTTTGCTGTTGCTAAGCTCATTGAAGCCCATCTTGTTCTTCACATGCCTTATCAGATTCTACTTCAGGGGCTACCCCTGCATGCTCAGAAAGTATTTCTATAATCCTCCTCTTCTAGCTCCTAGAATCATAGAATCACAGAATGCTTAAGGTTGGAAGGGACCTCTAGAGGTCATCTAGTCCAACTCCCATGCACACACAGAGTCACCTAAAGCACATGGCACAGGATTGCATCCAAGCAGGTTTTGAAGATCTCCAGAGAAGGAGACTCCACAACCTCTCTGGGCAGCCTGTTCCAGTGCTCTGTCACTCTCACTCTTAAGAAATTTTTCCTTAAATTCCTGTGGAACTTCTGGTGCTTCAGTTTGTGGCCATTACCTCTAGTTCTGTCGGTGGCCACCACTAGAAAGAGGCCAGCACCATCCTCCTCACTGCCTCCCTTGAGGTACTTATAGACACTGATCAGATCCCCTCGCAGCCTTCTATTCCCCAGGCTGAACAGGCCCAGCTCCCTCAGCCCCTCCTCATAGTGCAGATGTTCCAGGCCCCTGATCATTCTTGTGGCCCTGCGCTGGACTCTCTCCAGCAGCTCCACATCCCTCTTGTACTGTGGAGCCCAGAACTGGACACAATACTCCAGATGTGGCCTCACCAGGGCTGAG